TAAGTGTGATATCATAAATCACGAGGGATGTTATTATGATTAAGCAAAACCTGAAGGGAGGTCTTTGAAATTACCCATTTTTTATATTGTCTATTTATTATCCTTATATCTCTCTATGATTCTCAAGTATTGGTGGTTTTATGATTTGGAACTTGAATATTAGAAAAATCACACCCACTCAATGTTTAATATTCGAACACTCGGAGTTGGGACGGAAACAAATATAATCTTTTCGCCCAAGCATAGGCTGTTTTTCACTTGAAGATTTTCTTGCGTTCTATGTAAAAAAAAAATACATTTATCTGAAACTTAATTAGATGGACAGTTTTGTATGTCATATATAAGTATACGCCTACTGAATAGTTGATATTTTCACAAATTTTCTTTAATATAAACCAAACCCTTGTTGGAGGCGATTTTCCAATAATATATTTGTAGATGCATATACTTATATGTTGTTAAAATGATATAGCTATCTATCACCGTAAGGTATCTGCTTTGATCACCATTCACCCCTGTCTAAAGCCTAGCTAATATTTTTGGGATCTTTACACAAATAGCCGATCATATTCACAGTTATTTTTCTAGCTATATACATATGTTATATAATTATTATATACGATTATACATATATAATACATAAATTATGTATATATTATCCTTCCACCGATTATTTTTAGTTTAAGCGGTTGAGTGGACGATTATTTAGGCTAATTCTTCAAAAATAAAATCAAATTTTGCTTCAAGAGCGCTTCTTCAGGTCAATTGATATTCGCTAATTTTTGAAATCTGTTGTAACATTAAAACTTGTTTGTATGATCACATCCCATATAAAGTTGTAAGTGAATAATATTTTCTACATTTGATTGAAGGATCTTAGAATTGGGACATCAGTTTATGTTTTTTAAAATTTTATTTTTGGTGCCATATAATATGATGATTTCATTATATATGCACAGAATTTTGATGTCTTTCTGGCTTTCTGCACAACTGTTACAGGAAATGATTGATAGTATTAGCATAACTAGTGCTTGCTTAAACATTCATTTAGCTCTAAAAGTTCGAGACTTTTGACACATATAGGTCTAAAGTTGGACACTGTCAAATCAACTTCAGACCTAAATTTTTGAAGTTTGATTGTACACGCCATATGTCAATTTCGGATATTTGGGTCAGGATTAGGCTTGATAGGCCCCAAATTCAGACTTGTATATTTGAAGTCTGGAACTTCAGACCCACGATTTTCAACTTCTCTACTTGCCCTAGTTTTATCATTATTTCAGTTATATTTTAAACTCTAAAGGGTAGCAACTAGCAACCTTCAAACCGTTTAGGCTACTGTTGTTGTCGTATCGGCTCAAAAGTTAGGCTCTGTCAAAGTAATTTTAAACTAAAAGGTCTGGATTTTGATATTTCACCCGTAATTTCAATTTTAGACCCAATTGTTTGAATTTGATATTAAGGGTGTGTTTGTATGAATGATATTTTCCTGGAAAATGAATGATGTTATCACTTATTTTCTCATATTTGGTTGGTGAGTGAAAAACTTTTTCCGAAAAATATTTTTTAGTGTTTGGTCAGAGAGTAGAAATTTTTTTCTTAGGAAAATAATTTTCTATGCTACTCTCCTCACCCCCACCC